TTGTGTATGGAATTACTCAAGATACAGACACAAATCAATATATAATTGTAATACCAGATGAATTTAGTTCTAGAAGAGACTATTCAAATGGAGTATGCCAATGCTGTGGACATTACAACACATCTCCTGCTTGGTGCCAATCCTGTGATCCCTGGAGAGCAACTCAAGAATGGACAAGTGGAAATGAAGAGATTAACAATTTTATTAAAGAATTCCAATTCAAAGCTACGGAATATGAAAAGGTGATTGAATGGATTCCATTTGATAATCTAATTAAGCTACAAGAAATTAAAGAAGAATCAGATTTTGCATTCATGGCAACCTGGACCAAAGGTGTACGAACAATTAAAAGTGAATCTGGAAAATATATACAGTCACGCACTATATCATCTGTTGATCTTATGAAATTGAATTATTCTCAAATGAACATCATGGAACTTTTAGAAAATGTAAGTTAAATTGCTTATATTATTAGTTTTATTGCTTGAAATTAGAGTTTGAAATCGGTCTTATTTTCATATGACCGATTAAACCCATTTTAAAATCGGTTCCAAACTCTACTTGAAGTATTGCTTAATTAATTATAATAATGTATATATACATATTATATATATAAGTTTAAAAATCATATGCAATTAGAGAAATATAGAATGCATGGAATAACTCAAAACACGGAAACTAGTCAATACATGCTTGTTATTGAGTTTTATAATGATAAAAGAAAGTCCGTTAATGGAATATGCGAGCACTGCAAACGATACAACACCTCTCCAGCCTGGTGTCAATTGTGTGATCCTCCAAAAATGGTGCAAGAAACAAGTGGCGATAAGAACATAGATGATTGCATTAAGGAATTTCAACTTAAAGCTACGACATTTGAGAATGTTATTGAATGGATTCCATATAATAGACTAGATAATATAAAAGAGATTAGCAGAGGAGGGTTTGGTACAGTATATTCATCAATTTGGAAAGATGGTAAACGAATGGTCGAAGGTGATGATAATTTAGGTTATGTACGATATCGTAAAAAATCCTGCGAAGTTGCTCTTAAGACATTGACTGGTTCTCAAACAAGCTCTTCCGAATTTTTAAATGAGGTAAGCCAAAATTTTTTGCTTACCGTATTTTGGTGAATAATGCACAGGGTGTGCGTTATTTAAAGACGCGTATATGAATCAGTTTTATAATTTTTGTATGAAAAATTACATGTAGTACAATATCTCATATACTTGAGGGTGATGCATAGGACAAAATCATGAAAATTTTCTAAATCCCTTGTGCGCTATTACGCTCAAATACGGTAAATCTACTGGATATTAACTTTATAAAATTTTACTCATATTCTTTCAGTTTAAAAATCATATGCAATGTAGATTAGAAGGTAGTGCACTTGAAGTATATGGATTAACTCAAAGAACAAAGACTGGTCAATATATGATGGTGTATCAATATGCCAATAGAGGAAATCTTCATGACTTTTTACCTAAAAATTTTAGAGAATTTGTGTGGCAAAAGAAACTAAAGCAACTTGCAGATATAGCACATGACTTATCTCTAATTCATGGAACAGGACTTATTCATAATGACTTTCACAGCGGTAATATTTTACTAAACCAAGATATCGATGGAAATATAAAATCATACATTACAGATCTAGGATTATCTATAAAAAAAGATGAGAATGATTCAAAAAATGTTGTTTATGGAGTCATGCCATATATTGCTCCAGAAGTTCTCCAGGGCTGTCAACACACACAAGAGGCAGATATTTATGGTTTAGGTATTATCATGACAGAAATAACAACTGGAAAAAGGCCTTACGATGGGTCTAAACTCGATTATGAACTTGAATTAAAAATTTACAATGGATTACGTCCGAAATTTTCCGAAGGAACACCTGATTGTTACATTGAATTAGCTGAACAATGCATGGATTCAAATCCACAAAATCGGCCTACTGCTGAATATGTTCATTCAAAAATTAATCAATGGAAAACGATTTTGGAATCAGAAAATTTGACAGATATAGAGGAGCTTGATATAAAAAAGAAATTCATTGATGCTGATAGTATAATAAAAAAAACAACATTAAAATCTTTATCTACTCTTCAAAATAAAGATTATAGCGATGTACAAGAAATACGGCATTTTAAAGTACTAGCAGGATTAAATTGTTTTAATCGCTTATATTTGTGATTGGTGATTAAGCATTAATTTATTTATTTTAATTTATCGCAAATAGGATCTACTTCATTCAGATTCAATCTTTGAAGCTCCATCTCATATTATTGATTTAGCAAGTTAGTATTATTTGAAATATTTGATTGTTTAAAAATCTTTGTACTAATATTATTTTTTTAAAAAAAGTTGAAGATATTGAATTTCAAAAGAATTAATGCTTAAAAATATTCATATTGGTTCTCGGGTAAAGTCACTTTAAAATTAGAGTTGGGCATCTTAACTACAAATGGATACTATTTGATAGACTATTAAAAATTAGATAAGGCCACGCAAAGTTGATTTTTCGTTTTACATTACATGGATTTCAAAATTAGGGACGGACGGACGGTTTTTTTGAGATTTAGCATTTACCACCGGTGGTGATATCACCAGTCCTAAGATTTTTTAGGGTTAGGGTGTTTTTTTTATATAATATATATAACTACTATAAGGGCCCGATCTCAGTTCTCGTGAGGGTTTTGTGAGTCCTGAACATTTTTACTTAGAGGACCCGATCCTGTTTACTTAGTACGTTTTTGAGATATAGCAACACCGGTGATAACACCAGTGGTGATAAATATCAAAATCCTTTTTTTTTTTTTTTTTTAATTCAATTTACTGCAAATAGAATAATGATCACATTTAAGGTTATATTTGATAACAAGGAATCAAAAAATTAGGCCGGCAGTCATATTTTTCCTGTCAGTCCTATCGGACAATTAAGGCCTCCATCGGGTGATACCGGATGAAATAGTGGGAAAAATAGATGTCAAAAATCGAACAATTGGCATAATTGGGATCTAAAAAAAAAAAAAAATTTTTTGAAAAATTGAAAAAATGGGACGGCGGGTAATGCAAAACGAAAAATCAACTTTGCGTGGCCTAACGGAAATTGACTGAATGTACAACAGGAGGTGTTGGTGGTGCCCCATTTTATCATGTAAATTATAAAAAGAATCAAATATCTTTTATAATATTACACCAATTTTTAGTTAATGTTCCAATTGCAAATAAATGTAAATATATTTGGTGGTGAAAAAAGCGCCGAAATCTGCTGCGCCGAAGTCGACATCACGAGACCCAAAAACGTGACGAAAAACCCGCCCGAAGAACCCGTCACGAAATCGAGAAGAAGTCGCTCTCGGAAAGCCACAAGCCACGATGAAAGAAGAATCAGAATTAGCCGGAGGAGGCAAAGCTTTGATGGCGCGGTATGGCGTGGAGTGGCGTGTTGGGCTTAGCTTAGAAAAGAATTTGATTTTGTTCTCTCTGCCCTCCACATGTAAAATATTATAAATATGGGCTTGGTTCTTTGAACCCCTTACCTGGTATATCGTGTGGGTTGTTGTTTTGGTAGTGGTAGTGATTGGTTAGTTGTGTTGCTGAATAGTTACCGCCAACAATATATAATACTTACAAGGTCTCTATGAATAATACTATAAAATAAAATTCAGAATGATATTTCTTAGCAATACATATCTTATCTATCTATTGTAATTGTAAAATTTGCTTTTAACTTTCTTCCAAATTTCTGTCCCTAACATATTGTAAAGCTATACTATAATATCCCTGCTATTTTCTATTTATTTAAATATGTTTATTATTTGATGCTTCAAAAATTATAAATTGCATGTTTACCTTTATGATTCATATAATTTAATACCGTAATGTTTGGATGATAATCAACATTTATAATAGCTTGAATTTTTTATTATATAATTATAAAATTAATATTGTAGCAAGAGGTAGCTCAAGCCTTAATTTGATAAATTTTTAGATTTTATTCAAACCCAAATCGACTACAAATTTATTATAATCCTGAACATTGAAAAAGATTTGAAATTTTTATTTTGTTCTTCAGGAACATAAAATATTAAATTTATGTTCCTAAATAATTTTTAATGTTCTTATAATAAAATTAATAAATTTTCTCTCTCTCTCTCTCTCTCTCTCTCTCTCTCTCTCTCTCTCTCTCTCTCTCTCTCTCTCTCTCTCTCTCTCCCTCCCTCCCTCCCTATCTCTCTCTAATGGGT